CACAGGCAGCCCAAGCTCACTACTAGAAAAGCGGACGTGACTCTTACCGTGTTGCGCAACGTTTTATATTTATAAAGGTTTGTATGGGATGTTATTGCGCTATGTTGTTGTTCAACTGCTGAAAGAAAGACTTTCGAAAACGCTTCAAAATGGCCTGAGATGCTAGGAATCAACAAAGAAAACAACAAGGCAATAAGGTAAGTCCATTTCATTTCAAAACAAGACATTTTTGTCTCTCTTTTAAAGCAAACCGATAACATCCCATACAAACCTTTATAAATATAAAACGTTGCGCAACAGGGTAAGAGTCACGTCCGCTTTTCTAGTAGTGAGCTTAGGCTGCCTGTGCTCGAGGAAACGTCGCCACGCCGTGCCGAGGGCTAAGAAGCTAAATAACCTCCATTTTATTATTTCTTTACGTCTGAAGTAACAGTCCACTTTCCCTCAAGCGGGTTTCCAAGGTCATTACCAAAGTCATCTCTTACTAGGCTTTTTCGCCGATGGAGGCCTGGGCGACTTTGTAGTCGGTGTTGACGGCCGCATGGGATACTGGGCCAGGATAGTTTTGCGGGGTACTTTTACTGTCGATTTCTTCTTTCCTTGCTGTCTTTTGTCGTTTTGTTTCGCCGCGGCTGATTCCGGTCGAAGTAAGTCCTGAATCTCATTGCTCTCCTTTCCTGCACCGGCCACAACTTCCAAACATTTTAGCAGGTTGGTTTGTTCCAAGTCTTTTTTAGACAACATTTGCATAATATCCCTTCCATCGTCCAGTGGATTTAGCCAAGTAGATTTACGAACGTCAGATAATTTCATTTTTGTGCCTTTTGGAACGTAAATCTGAAATAATACTTCAACTGCTTCAGCTTTGGTTAGAGCACGACCTTTAGCGGACACTGAGGGAAACAAGCAAAGCTGATGTTAGAGTCCCATATGACATGCTCCTTTATGATCAGTAGAATCAAGAACACGCAATTTGAATGCAGGAGTTTTAATAATACCTGTCTACCGGTACATCTGACGTCATCTAATCAGCCCCCCCCCCCTCCCCCACTCCTGTTACCTGACATTGTTTCTTACTTTTTGTAACAATCTCTATGGCTTCGTCGATTTCCTTTTGGGACGGGGCGTGGCCAACAGACTTGAAGAACTCCTTGATGTCGTTATATTGCAAAAGACCATCAGTGGCAAATTTATCAAATGCTACTTCGTACTCTGCAAAAATAATAATATAATAATAAAAAGAAGAATTTCTCCCAAAAATAATTAGAACTTACTTCACAAAACAAATAACAACATCTGACCGAGACTGGATATTTAGAATTGCTAAAATTAAACATTTAATAATGATGTGAAACTAACATTCATATAAAATTCTAGTTTATCCCGCAAACAAAATGGCTAGCGAATTTAACTCATCGAGAAACACAAACTCTCACACGATTAAGGCTCAGCATATCAAGTATCTGCTTTATTTATAAGACTAAAAGTAGGAGATTTTTTCTGAACATTTCAGAAGCGCTTCTCCAAGTTTTGCCACTCATAAAACACTGTGTGCTGAAAAAGAACAAAATGTTTTACCAACAAAGCAGACCTATCTCAGAATAACAGACTCACTTTTAAGTCGCTCGACATATTCCATCAGTTCGTTAAACTCTAGTGCGGTTCTTGGTTCTTTTATTCCATATCGCTTTTGTATCCTGAAGAGAAGTTCCTGGTAACCTTTGATAAACTTGTTGAAAGACAAGGTCCGTTTCAAGGCCTTTAGGGAAACAATAAAATAATCAGTGGACTATAAAGCCATCTATGGAAAGGAAGCAAGTTTCCCTCCGAGAAATCAATGAAATGTTAGAACTGAAATAGCCTGTTCATCGTGACAGGTTCCCCTCTAAAACAAAATCACAATCAAAAACCACTTGGTAACGTTTACTCATAATTACCTTTGCTTTTGATTTTTCAAGCATTCGACGAACAAACCAGCCTCTAAAATACCTATGGACGGCAAGCAAAGGGACGCATTTAAAAAAATAGCGCAGTTTGAAGGTATAGCAAAAGGAAAATACACCTGTTTCTTTCACTTTTCTACTTGTAACTAGATCAATGGGAAAGAGCTATATACTTAACCTTTGAATGGTGATTGCAGCAGCTTTCTTTTGAGCTTTAGTTGGACCTTCTGGTGTTGGATGGAACACGCTACGGAAAAGAACAACGGACAAACAGACGCTTACTTAAAAGCAAGGGGCGGCCTACTACATAATCATAAGTAGAGAAGAAAACTACATTACTCACTCAAAAATATGTTGATGAGCCTGCACTTGTTTCATTTGTTGGCCCTGCTTGTCAGCTTCTCTGTTTTGCCTGCAAAATAATTAATATATCTAATATACCAAGTGAGCTAAGTTGTTCTTAGGAACAGAGCGGGGTAACGTCATACATATAAGTTGACGGGCGGTCGCTAAGACATGCTCCTCACTACGGAGAGAGGTATCTTGGGAAACCCAAGCCGATATTCGGCGACCTGCTACCTCTAACCCTAACCCTAACCCTAACCCTAACCCAAAAATAAAATACAAACCTAACTGTGACTTACATGAACATGGCATGTTGATTTTTCTGTTTTCTAGCCTCTTCCCTCCTCTTCAGATCCTGTTTGTACTTTCGAGCCCATTCCAGGTCACGTGAACTTGGTTTATATTCCTGTATTTTCTGCTCCATTACCTTTTTCCGAGCAAGAAATCCGCGAACGTTACTGTAAATTCAAAACATTGACAGTTTAACACCAACCTTGCTGGTAGACTCTCATATCACACCACAAAATGCTTTAGGTAACCACTTTAATTACCTCTTTCCTTTCTAATATTGAATTCACATGCACTGGGGAATGACGGAAATCTTCCTTTTGCCATTTTCCAAAAATAAATCAAACGTGACAATACCCTGAGCTAATCCTCGCCGGTAAATTTGAAAAGTTTTGGTAGATGTTAGTTTCCAAAAGAAATTTCAAAGAGTTACTGCAGCTTTATACCGAGCTGCTGCTAGAGTCGCACATGCTGTTTGACCAACCTTTGAAGCATGACAGCCGCCTTTCTTTGCCTCTCAATGTCTGCTACTCTTAGTTGTCTCGCATACTGTCTTCCCATAAAACCTCGGAATATCCTATGGCGTACAGCAAAGATACAGTGTTTCATAGCGATAGCAAAGTTCATTTATACGACTAAACTGAAGGAAAAAGGCGCAGGATCGGGAGAAAGAATTAAGGGAAGCTACAACTTCAATTAGGCATAACCTAGTCAAACTCTACAACCAATACTCGTTATAACTGAAGTTATTAAAAACTGGATCATTGGATAATGCAATTCAAGACTTTTTATTGGCTTAGCCATTATGGTATATGAGCCATAATCTACAAATATGGAAAACGTGCGCGTCGGGTTAAAATTAAAAGGGAGCTAAAAAGATTTGGTAAGATTTGTCTAATATCTTGGGGGCGTTTTTAATAAAACAATTATTCCACACGGGCTTGTTGGATAGGAGATGATTATAGCCAACTCGGCGCTACGCGCCTCGTTGGCTATCTATCATCTCCTATCCAACGCGCGCTCGTGGAATAATTGTTAATTATGTACATTCTGTGTACTAGATAGAGATCAACCACCCCTCAAGAGTTGAAAGAGATGACTGAGGAGTTTCGGGTTTTAAGATTTACGACTCAGATCTCGTCAAATGCAACACTGACCTCTGAATGTTAACTGCTGCCCAGACTTCTCTCTGCCGCATGTAGTCGTCCATTAGCAAGTACTGGGATAAAAAGTCAATCAAAAAAAGGTAGTCAATCAAAAGTATAACAAATTATCAAACGTAAGGAAAAACGCGAGTGGTTAGCAACGGCTTAACTTGAGCAGTAACTGGACAGCGCAAGCGTCATGAGTAGTAAGACAGCTTGTGCGTCATACATATCTTATTAAATGATATGGGTCATTTGCGCGCGCACTAATGTTAACTAACGTGTTCGTTTCTCGTGGATAAAAGTCAATTAATATGTTTCACCCGGCAAAGGGCTCGAAACGCTCGAAGCATCAGCTTCAGAAACTTTTCAAGGTGGCCAATTACTTTATGAACTCGGTTGATAAAATCATACTTTTTAATGAATACGCCCTACCGAAGGGCATTTTATTTCTTACATTTTTTCATGCTTTGGATTCAACTAACATTTGACGATCATTCCATTTTGTTGATCACTGCTCTGATTAAAGTGAACTGGGCTCCATTTGGACCGATCACCAATCTCGATCAGAAGACTTTATACGATGAGCGACACACAATCAATAAAACTTTTTTCTAGAATTGACTGAAACATGATGATTGTCGCAAGTTGGTTTTCGAGGAGCATTACAAGAAGCAAGAACAGTGTTATTCTGCAATGGCACTGTCACAGATAGCACACGTACCTCTTCATCTCCACAAAAGTGTTTAAAGTCCCGCACCGAAAAGTTGGTAATGTTTTGTGCAACATGTGTACTGCATGTGCTACGGGCAGAAGATGGTCTGGACGAGCGACCAGCTGTGGGGATTGGGATAACCCTACGTGCAGTCGAGGCCGGTGATAAAGGACGAGCTTGTGACGATGAAGGAGCTGGTGACGTGGAACGTAATGTGTCTGGAGGGAGAAAAAGTAAAGGGCAAGATATTCAGTAATTGTTTGCCTAACAATCGGAATATTCCTAATTTGTTATTTAGAATGAATAAAAAATCGTAAGTTAATTTGGAACCTTTGGTTTTCGTAGTAACACTGCTGTGACCGCTGTCCAAGCTGATAGTGGACGGTGATGACAACTCCTTTGGTTCCCAGGTCGCCTTTTCTTGTTGTTTGGGTTCATCTACAGCACCAAAATGTCGCCCCTTAACCATCAGGGAGTTGTCTTTAGGAATTCGTACATCGGTACGACGAGATTTCAGATCATCACTAAAATAACGAGACATATATATATTAAGAGAAACTTCTCAGCTCAGAACAGTAAGTTGAAGAAGCATCATAAAAAGGAAATGGATCGCAACTAGAGTCAATTATAAATATTTACCTTGTTAATTGAATAAAATGACGACAGAATCAAATGTCTGAGGTTGCGCGTTAGTGATATGGGATGCGATCCCTAGCAATTGGGAGAAGTGTGTGGACATGTGAGTGAAGTGTGTGGGCATGTGAGTGAGTTCTACGCGTGTGAGAGATCACAAACACTAGTGTGTAACTTGCTGTTCTTTAGATAAAACATCAGCTATTGTTCGTACCTAATTTCTGCTTGGCTCTTTAATGTTTCGCGATAAAGTCCATGTTCTCCTTGTAAATACCAGTTTACTGTTGACGGTTTGTCGCATTCACCTTTCAGAGGAACCCAGCATCAAATTCTCAGTTAGAGCTAAGGATAAATTCATGAATTCAAGGAACTTGGGTTAACCCTTAACTTACCGAGCCTCGGGCCCACAGGCTGACAGAAAGAGAGGTACTCCAGATTGTAGGTGTAATCCGTGTTATCGGCTTCGGCGCCTGCCAGACCCAAAATCAGCTTTCTCCCCTGAGGCCCTGATATGCAATCACTGAAAAGATGTCAAAAAGGGTGTTAAAATTTCAGATAACCGTGAGATATTTGACGATAAAAACTTGCGACAAAACGTTGCTTGATAACATTGTAAAATTTAAAAAACGATAAAAAGCTATAGAAAGCTAAAATCGACGACGTTTCGACGTTAACATGACGTCATTATCAAGTCAAGAATGTATAAAAATAAGTTCTATAAATACTAAAAACGAACAATAAGGGAAGTTTTTAACCGTGAAATAACAAATTAATTTTTCGCACAAATCATGAAAGGTAAAACATTCGTACATGTTCCTTCTATCTGCGTCACCAAGATGTCTGACTACCACAAGGGAAGCCAAGGTTCGTTTGTCCAATGAGCGCCTGCCAGTGGGCATTGTTACTTGATTGTTAGGCTGTTGAACCTTCTTTCTCGGACTGTGCGGAGATGTCGGGCCCCTGCCGGACAAGTCAGAGTTATTGAAAAACAATTAACCTATCGGTCTTATAGAATGAAAAGATGATACTGTTGTGACTAATAGTTGTGGAATACTTGCGCCTACTTGAGCTTCTTGAGGTATGTTCTGTTACCAAATCCATCATCGGTCCATCTACACAGAACAAAGCGGCAGAGTATCATAAGTTTACAGTGTTTCGTTTCGAGCATCCTGCATTAGGTAATAAGTTGAAGCTCTGCGCCATTTCCATCGTGAATCGCACTTTCGTACCGCAGTTGAGCCTAATGGACCGTCTACAAAATCTCGAGAAATCATTGGAACTTAATAAAACAAGACGTTTCTACCCAAAGTTAAATGTTTCAAAACCATTTATGTCCTCAACTATGCGAAAATTTCCGGAATAGTTCGAACTGTAGATCACAACAGCCAGTGAGCATTTTCTGATTTATTCTGCAAAAGTGTTTGTCACAAGAGTTGACCAGAAATATTCTGTACCGTTAAGGTTCCAGTATTTAAATCCAACCAGTCATCGAGTATAAAGGGAAAGTGTATACATGCTATTCAAATAAACATTCTCCTTAAAGAGGAAACACAAAGGTACTGAAAGCATTACAGTGAATTTCGAAAGCGCTGTCAATAAGTCTTACTGATATCTGATGGTGTCCGGTACAACTGGACCTGAAGTCTTGTAGCCCTTTGTCGTTATTAATTCTTGAGACTTTTCCTGAGGGAAGTGTACGGTATAATCTCTTGGGGTCCTCTCGGGAATCAGCTCCGGTTCCTTATATTTGAGTTCAACAGATCTGTTATCCGATGTGTCCGACGCCGGTCTGGTAAAGGAAAAAAGCACTATGGTGAAATGACAATAATGTGAAGTAAGTGTCTCGAAGAAATTAATTTGATTCTTTCGTAAAAAGGAGAGCTTAGCTTGAGATGAAAGGTGAATTTTTCCTCCAACTGAATATAACAACCACTGAGCTGTGAACTGTTTAACTGCATAAAACCTCGGAATCTAATGCACAGCGCCACTACTGACAAACTGAAGAAAGGGGCGACCTTTCACTGACTTACTTACTAATAGGGCAGAACACAATGTAAAAAGTCGACTTATTCTGATGACAGGCAGTGGCTAAATGACTGTGAAGTGTTTGGGGACACGTACATAGCTATATCCATGACACAAGCGATAATTAGTTGTAATCGTACAAGGTTGTAAAAGCCCCATAAAACAGGTGTGACAGCCAGATTCGTTTTTTTGTAATGACTTTTTCACTTTTTAAATCTACAGATAGAAGAGGCTATTTCGTTCACATCCCTATAGAATGTTGCTTTACAAACAATCAACAAATAAAAACAATGAACTGCGCCTGTACTTAGATCAAACATTTTACCTCTGAAGTTCACGATGGAATTTATCGGAATGTGAGCTCGCGATATTCGGTAAAAATAAACCTTTCCTTGCTTCAGTTGAACAAGACCACGACTGTAAAGTAACGCTGTAAAAATCACGGTAAAAATATCACAAATGCCAAACAATCCGATTGGTAAAAACACTGTAACGAGCTGACACGCAGTTTACCTGGTCGATATATCGCGAATATCGAATCTCGGACAAGGACATACTACAGGTCGCTTATCATTAATGGTAACCCGCTCAGTCCATGGCAATTTATGAACAGATAAAGCGTCTAGTGACACTGGTGTGTTTTCCATTTTAGGAGTAGGATAGCTTTGTTAATTAAAATCTTGCGAAAGCGTGAACAAGTCTTATGATGACAAAATTAATTCATACACGATTGTGTAAACAAAATGTCATTCGCTAGATTCCTGAGTTTCGCTTTACCATACAATTGTCAGTGACTTTAATATTATTCTGTAAAGAAAACGTTTTTGAACCGAAATCTCAAATGACTTTCACTTAAAATCAATTGGCAGGACATCACCAACATTTTTCCCCTTATGTCTTAGAGATAATTTCGTTTAATCAAGTAAAACTAACATTGTGATTCGTGGAACATGTTCTATTGTCGCAGCTCACAATCTTTGTTTACCGATGGGGAGATATTTTCTTTTCTTACGTGTTGAACTCAAGCCATAAATATCGAGATGGATTTAAACAAAGAGAATATACTTTATCTACGGAAAAAAAGAAGAAAAAACCTGTATTCTAAATTATTGATTTCTAAAGTTTCAAAACCCTGGCCTTTAATGCCAAATAAACGTCTCAATTTCGACAAAATATTCAGCTGGCTGAGCAGTGAGGATCAGTCTGAACAATTTCAGTCACCAAGCGACTTCCAATTCGCCTCAAAGCCTGTTCCCTTCGGTTAGTAAAACGAACCGTGAGAGAAAACATTTCGAGAGAAACGTAGGAGTGAAAAAACGAGGGAGGTTTGGGTGGAGTCGCGTCATTTACCCGACGCGACCCAGACCTCCCTCGCTTCTTCACCCCTTCCCTCCTATCACACCGTTTGCTATTTCCTTCCGTTTTACCAACTGAACGNAGATTTAAAAGACGAAAGAGAAGCTGCAGATTTAAGAGAATCAGGAAGAGTATTCCATAATGTAGGTGCACAGAAAGAGAACGCACGTTCACCGTATGTCACAGAATTCATAGTGGGGACAGTAAGAAGTGATTTGAAAGATGAACGTAGAGTACGTGGTGGATGATATTCTTGTAGCAGGGACGACAAATAGACCGGAGAAAGTCCATGAAGAATCTTAAAAGTAATAACAATAACTGTAAACATTATTCGTGATTCAATTGGCAGCCAGTGTAGTTTTTGAAGAGAAGATTTGATGTGATCATATTGTTTAGATCCAGTAAGAAGACGCGCTGCAGTGTTTTAAACTCTCTGAAGTTTGTCGAGTTCCCGTTTCGGTAAACCATAGAGGATTCTGTTACAGTAGTCCAGTCGTGATATTACGAGAGCGTTAACTAGTAGTTTAAGGTTAACACAGAGTGGAGCAAACTTTACCCTAATGAGATGGACGAATTCTCTGGAGATAATGTCTCCTGTTCACGCGCTGTTTGCGCAGGGTTACCAGGCCCCTCCTCCACTTCAGAATGGTTATGACGGTTGGGGACTGAAAATTCTTCACTAACTGGGGTGGGGGCAGAAGATTTTGAAGAACCTCCCATAGCAACCACTTTGGCTGGCTGCAAAGGACTTGATGGTAGTTTTTGGCCATTTACCTACAATTGAACGTGTCCGTGGGAAAGATAAAATAGTTACGTTCCACAACTTACGAGACACAAACGCCAGAAGGCAAAATGTTCTCACCCTCTCCCGGTCGTACTCCATTTGCATGCCTATAGGTGTGACCATTCCAAGGACCGCGTCTACTTTGATTACTTCTTGTGCACTGAAAGGTAACAGATATATATATTTGTTAGGATATTTGGCATGTTTGCCTTGAATGTGAGAAGTTAGAGAGGATAGTTAGAGTGGCTTTAAATGAACAAAACCGATTGAAAGTTCTTGCTTTTGAGATTTAGAAAGAAAATTTATTTGAGGAGCTAACTTGTTGTGTGGAGGTACTGTAGCATGTCTGAGATGTCTCGCTGCACTTGTACTGCTCCACTGATGCCCATTTTCTGATGTATGTCGACTGTGGCCATTGGCTATAAAAGTAAAAATTAACAGCAACTGTCAGTACGCTCTCGATCAATAGAGAGAACCTAAAATTAATAGCACGAAGTTTTTTTTTCTCTCTCAACAGATTTGCTTCTTCATCACAGTCCCCACCCAACCACCCCTCCTGACCTACCTGTACTTGATCCAGAGTACATAATGGAATAACTAGGTATTACTTCAGGTTCAGAGAGGTCATAAGTTCCAACAGGGGTAGGTTTCATAGTCTTCCTTCCCTCTTGTGGTGTGGAACGTTTCTTCACACTCAAATCTCCATTGACAGTTTCTAAGTCAACTTTTTTTTCTTGCACTGCACCCAAATCTTTGATGTAATTGTCATAGTCGTGAAGGAGTTTTTTCTGTAGTAACTCGTGCTGCTCTTCTAATAATTTCTCCTCCATTTTCTGATGTTCTAGAATTTCTTCCAATTGCACAGAAGTCGCATTTTTTGGTATGACATCCTTTTCTGAACAATCAACAGGAGAAGAAGTCTCGTTGTCGTTAAAGTTCACCTCATCTTCACTGTTTATTTCTGCCTCTTCTATAGCTGAATAATTACTTCTGTCTTTCATGATACCAGAAGTTAACTTAACAGATGGTTCTTTAACAATGTCGGGACTGTAATGTGCTGTCAAAGGAGACTTGGTTCTACTAAAATAAATATATTAAGTGACATGTTTAGGGATGGTATTTCAATAAGGAAAGAAATTAACCTGGAGTAATTAAATGATAGGAAATTGGCACAAGAAACAACAAGTCACATTCTGCTACATACTTGGGGAAAATAGAAAGTCATAGTTTGAAGACAGTTCACACCTTGAAAGTACAGGTGAGTCCCTTGGTGAGGAGAGGGGTGAGATCACTGGGGAAGAGTATGGGGCTGAACTGCTGCTTGCTGGTCTAAGGATGAATGACTTCAGCTTATCTGGATTCACCTTTTTCTGCAAACAAAAAAATTACAATGAATGTTCATTTTTGCTCTTTCTTTTCACTCAAAGGGTAAATTTCGTACAAACAGACTCTGATGAAGAGTTAAACTTCCAACTGCTTTGTAACTTTTCTCAGCCCAAAACTATCTGGTGCCCTTTCAAAAATACTATCAGTAAAAGTACAATCACCAAACATAATGTACAGTGGTCATCAAACAGTTTCATGATAAATCGTAAAAGTTCTAGTAATAACCACTCTGAACATGACATGAAATTAATTTATCAGTGGCTATTACTTCATTTATGGTATTGACTGACCAAAGAGTTAACAAACCTTAACATTCCTGAGCACTGGTGGTGCAGTACCAGGCCTTAACAAGTATCCACCAGGCACATAACCATGTTCTAAATAAGAGCCATCACTTAGGTGGGGTCCATAAGGGATGATATGAAGGCTCCTTTTAAGGGAATCCTACAAATTCATAAAAATATTCTTGTCAGCTTTGTCAACATCCTGCTCCTTAACCACTTGAGTCAAAGATTTAGGGCTATGTGGAAAAAAATGAACAACAACTCAGCTACTGCTCCACATAATCATGAGCAGCACTCTGTAAAATAACAGACAAAGCCATTTTTTGCCTAACCTCACTCCCAATAGTTTTCAATAGTTTCGAGCCTGATGAGGGTCTTTTAAGACCTTTCAGCTGTTGGGCCTCATTCCAAGTCACATATCTAGCCCCCAATTGGCTCTCAACTGAAGGTGCTGTTTTGGGTCTCAGATGTAGCTTAGGAATCTTGGTGAGTGCCTTCAGTTCTTCCTCTTCTTCATCTTCATCCAAGCTGTCCTGGCCATCAGAGTTCCTGTCACTCTTCTTTGGGTTTGAAATTGGAATTTTCTGGTTGTTATTTAGACAGAAGAACTGTAATCAGAGTTCAGCCACAACTAGACATATGATATGTTCTCCAAAGACCTTTTATTACTTGTAAATAGCAACAACAACACTAACAGTCGATACCTAGATCCCTTGCCCCTCCCCTTGAGCCAACCTTAGTTTCCAAACTTATTCCTCCTCTACTATTGTCTGACAAAGAGTACAACTAACATTGATATCTAATTAACAAAAAGAAGTAAAGGAGATAGAGTGCAAAGGCTAACCTAAAAGTTTCTCTGTCCTGACATATATGCGAAACATTTCCACAAGAATTTCAAAGAAATACAAAAGGTTTTAACATACAGGTGGTGATGTTATCAACTTTTTGTTTGCCTTGTACCACTTGTAAATCTTCAACAAATCCTCATGTTGCTTATCAAAATACTTTGACCTGCAAGTTTTAACAGTCAAAAATAGTAGTGAACTCAGAGACTATTTTGGTTTAACCTTGTTTATGGGGTATGGATGTACTTCACCAGTACTGTGCAAGTCTAGCGTGAGCAGCAAGCACTGAGTTATGGTAAGACTCAAGTTCAACTGTAGATACTCTCTTTTTAAGAGTTTCCTGTTGGTGATCTGGTACTTAATTATTTATTTGATGATCTCAAGTGAGAAGAAGCACAAGGGTTAGATGCCTGCATTACCTAGGATTGCAACATCAGGACACTGGGCTTTCACTTACATGGAGGAATGAATACTGTAAATTACACAGAACAGAAGTATTATTTGAAGGTATTTGTTTGCAACAAATCCATATCTCTGCTCTAGGACCAAGCTGCACAGCTCTATTCTAAAATCAGATACGTAACAACACATCAAACTTACGTTGCCACCTCAGAGAGCATCTTCAACAGAGTTCCATGAAAAGGTTTATCATATGGATCTCCTTCATCATATAAATAAGGCCTCCAGGAGGATATTAGGGTAAGATAAAAAAGAAATACATATGTTGTAGGATAAAATGGACTTTATGTGTAAAATTAGGTGATTTGAAACCAAGATGATTTTTCTTCTTTTAAGATCAAACCATCAGCTAAGTTTACACTAATTGAATCCTAATTTAAGTTGCTTGAATAAATCATCTTCTAACTATGTATACCTCAAATCCAAATCTTTAGCATCTCTCTTTCCTGTCAGAATTGCAATTTTGACATCTTTGTAGTACTTTTCAAGAGCTGTTGTCATCGCACGAAACTCTGAATAGTTCATGAGCTGAAATGTCAATAACCAGTCGAGTTGATTGAAAAGAATGTATATAGCTCTAAATGTAGGCCTAGGGCTGCAACTTGCACCTTCTCAATAACTTACAAACTTTGATCAAGCATACACAAAAGAACAAAAAAGTGTGTTGCATCCTACTTTCAAAACATTGCATAATGTTTGAGTTCACAGAACTGGCTTTTCTCACATAAACAGATCACCGCTTCTTTGAGTCAACAAAAGTGCATACAAGTAGGAGGGTTTGGAGCAAAGAAAACTAATTATAATTGGCATAACAATCTATAATCCCAGCCTACAAATTATTTACTTCAACTGAAATCATTGTCCATCAAGAATAGTAAAGGTGCACATTGAAGTTCAGTACAGTAAGTAAACTTCAATTTACATTGAAACTGAACTAAAATCGGATCTTATCTCGCACCAAATCATTAACTGTAGGCGAATATAACTACAAATTACAATACACGTTTCCAAAAGAATAATCAAAGCTTTAATAAATGCAAACTTCAAGTTCATATCTTTTTTGTGCCTTCTTTTCATGCTCATTAACCCGTTCCGCTTGCCACACAAAGATATATTCTAATAAATATTTTCTGTTCGGTCAGAAAATAAAAAAAGTGTTTAATGAGTCATTCGATCGTAAATCAATCAAATAAGAATCTGTCAAAAGCAGCCAATTGCTGATTGTTGAAAATCATTAGTCATAAAGATCCCTCAAAGTTTACACGTGTTGTCAACACAAAGTAAACCCAAAAGACAAAACGTCGCATTAAGCTATTGGCTCTATGAATATATTAGGTAATCTTAAGAGCGACTCTTACCTTCTATACACGTCAACATCACTCAACGTTACAATCTGGTTCAATATTAAAAGCGTGTTAATTTCGCCGCCTAAGCAGCCTCTCGAGAGTAATAACAAAAAGCCAGACGAGTTAAATCGAAATTAGTGAAATTGTTATCGATTCCTGAGAGTAAATTGCGAAATCAGACCAATGTCGTATCAAAAAAGTTCCAATTAAATCGAAGTGCATTTATGTTAGCTAACAGTGTAAATTCAAAGAACACGAAGTTCGTCTTTTGAGTGGATACACATGTTCTCTTTAACAGTATTTTAGGAGGGCAAAGCATATAAACTAAACAAACCTTCGATCTTCTTAGAGTTCTTAGATCTCTCTCCATCTTCTTTAACAAGCTCGCTGGTGCCTCCTATTGGTGAATGATTAGCTTTAAGTTGGTAAACTTAGATCGAACATCACACACAGCGGTCCTTTGCACATTTCCGTGAAGCGTCTACTAGTTTTCACTCACGGACCTGTTGATAGTATGATATTTATCAACATGCTTGGTTAATTAAGCGAATTCTGCTTCGTGTATCGACTAAAGAACGTGCGTGATCTTCATCCTTCGCATGCCATCGGTTCAACCAAGCAACAAAAATATATCAGGCAAATAATTTCGTTTGTTTGCTGGAACCCGCAGGCACCTCACGCATTCCTGTGGAGTCCCCGTTGCTCGGAGTGATTATTTGTTGTTCTTTTAGAGATAAGGCCTGCAATAACAGCTGGTCAGTAAAAAAGGCAAGCTCTCAAGAATCGGCCCGAGGAAGTATCTATGATCGATTCTCGCGAAAGGGCAAACACAGGATAGAGCTGCACTGGAAAGAAATATCAGGGAAGATGAAAAAGAAAATTTACAGCAAACTGCAAAAATTGAACTCCCTGCTGTTGTCCTTCAGCCTTTAAAGCGCGAAAACGAAAATTAACAATTACAGGGAAATGTGCCCGGCCATGCCAAGCTGTTTAGATACTAGATTTGCCTTTGCCGTTATCTTAACGTTTCAACTTACTTTTGAACCCAGCAAAGTTCAAAACTAAAAGCGTCAAGTTTTTAGTCGACCACCCTCATTTAGCAACTGTTTTCTGGTGTCAAATTTTGATGTGCAAGAAGAGTGGCTTTAATTTCAGTTTGTCTTTTTCGTTTCATTTATCGGTTTGTACACTACAGGCAAAACAAGAAGGACATTTGTTTTCATGCAACTAATGTCCTTGTCCAGATTTGTACACGGCAAGTTTACAAGCGAAATTCGTTTTAAAACGAAAACAACTTTTGAAATGCTCATGGAATCAAGAGGCAATAATTTGCGCGATGTAATGTCAAAACCTGCCATTTCTTTAGAAAATTCACATGGAAAAATTAAAAGAACACATACCTTGCAATATCAGTTTCTCAAAAGAAGAATTGTTCATGAAAGCGAATCAAACCTGAGTAACTTATTCCTACATATCTTCCCTGAAGCCTTAACAGCCGCCTAGCGCGAATATTTAAATAAAGACGCAAACAAAACGCGAGAACGAAACTTTTCAAATACCACAAAATCGCACTTGTCACTGAGGGTCGAGAAGCGAAGACAACTTCTCAGTAATGAATTTTCATGATAAATAATGTTTCATGTGAAATGCAAATATAAGCAAAACTTGACTTAACTGTGTCATTGTTTTTATTACAATTGATCGGTTGATATCTTTTTTCGCACAAAACAAAGGATTTTAATGGCACTTTTGAAAAGTTACAAATTCGAATCAGTACTGTAAGGTTTGAATACTTTCATCTGCAAACTTTGGTGGACTATACTGCTCCTGGCCAAAGCTCGATTCTTGAAATGCGTTTGCAATCTCGCTTATTTGAGTACTTTGGAGAGAGCAGATGTTTTCTGCACTTCTCCCACACATCTCAACAGGAAATACAAATCGGAGACGGTCCAACAGAGTGACAATCAGAAACTTCATCATCAGTTTAACATCTAATAAGACTAAAGGAGCTCTTTTAATTATCTTAAAACACTCTTTCTTTCAATTCACTTTTTGACTACCTACACTTACTCTTCGTGTCTTCTCAACCAATCAAAATAAAGAAAACAACTAAGAATAATTTGGAGACTTGACTCGTTTTCCTTCTGAGTACTACAAGGTTTGATTGGTCATATGATAAAAACATTATTAAATTAATATTAATCAAACGTATTTTTTAGGGCGCACACATATCGGCTTTCGATGTCACACCAATCAACAGCACGAAACCAAAGAAACAAATTATTAAATTACACCTAATTAAACATTGACAGATGATTCCATTAGCTTTTCCTTTTCTTGTCCATAACCTTATTTTCCATTTGTTTTTTTGTTCTTGTCCATAATCTTATTTTCCATTGGCTTTTCCTGTTCCCATCCATAATCTTATTTTCCATTTGTTTTTCTTGTTCTTGTCCATAAACTTATTTTCCATTAATTTTTCCTTTTCTCGTCCATAACCTTATTTTCCATTCGATTTTCCTGTTCGCGTCCATAACCTTATTTCCCCTTCTTTTTTCTTCCTCGTCTCCAAGGTTGTCGCGACCCAGCAGTGGTGAACGTGATGCACTGAAATACAACCATTACTAGTGTCACAAACAAGAAACAGGGAAAAAAGAAAAAAAACTCGTAATTTATTTTTGTTGTAGATGCAAATCAGTATCACACATCAATCCCACCCTCACTAACAGTCTTTTTATTTTCTAAGTCCGAGAAAACTGATCGAGAAAATTTGACAAAATTCCCCTCAGTACGTACATACATGCATACATACATGCATACATGCATGCATACATGCATACATACATGCATACATACATGCATACATACATGCATACATACATGCATACATGCATCCATACATGCATACATACATGCATACATGCATGCATACATGCATGTATACATGCATACATACATGCATACATACATACTTTATTGACTTTCCCCAAAGGAGGCTTTTCAAGGACAATATACAAGCGTTACTAATCACAAATAAGAATAACAATGACTAAAATACGATCCCAAGACTCATAGCATATACTAAGAAGGCTCTAAAAATTATAAAAATATATAAATACAAAAATACATTTCGTTGAGTAGTTTGGTTTTCAGACAATTTTTGAAGACAGTGACTGAATCGCACAATTTAAGAGAGTGATCTAAGGAATTCCATAAGTTAACTATTCTATAATGAAAAGTTCTTTGGCCGCTAGCGGTTTTAAAAAGTGGAATATTCAACAATTGTGAGTTTCTTGTATTACAACCGCTCACCTCTGCTCGCTTTAAGAATTTTGAGGACATCTATTTAGGGGCGTGGCCCGTCATACCTTTAAAGGCCATTGCAGCACTTGGATAATACAACTGGTTTGCCACAGATAGCCAGTTAAGCTTTTTACGAATGGGCGTAATACGATCGTACTTACGCGCTCCGCTCACAATGCGGCAGGCAAAGTTTTGCACAGCCTGCAATTTTTTAATATTACATTTCGATGTATTTGCCCATACATTAGAACAATAAAATAATTTACTAAAAACTCAATCGCATTTAAGGGTATTGAGTTTTGTTTTATGTGCGTCTCACTTGTTTAAAAATAGGCAGTCAATGACTGCATGTAGCTTACTGTACCTGTTATTACTTAGAATACCGTATTTAACCGCGCCCTAAAACGACACTAGAAATTACTCACAACTCAAGATATCGTGCAACCACAAATTTAAGCTGCGCGATGAACGGAAACAAATATATTATTATAATATGCTAACACATTGACACCTGAACCACCCGTAACCGCCCCTACCTCCCTTCCCCGACTTTCCCTCATGGTTAGGATTAGGAGTTCAACAAAACAATAAGAATCCGTCATTTACACAAATATTTTGATGGCGTCAGGGGGTACTATAAGGCCATCATTCTATGCGTTCATACTAAGGGGCCGACCATTTAACTCTTGAGGGGGGAGGGGTGGGCGATTTAAAAAAAAAAAACTTCCTGAAAGCGCTTGGTGGAAGAAAAAAATTGCATGCAGCCCAAATGTAACAGAAGAAAAAGGGCATTTAGAACGGAAAAAATAGCAGATTGCTAAAAAATAATTTCTTGATGACCAGAAATTTCCTGACGACCCTCAAATATTAAATGGTCGGCCCTAAACGATCAAACCACAGGTGGCCTAAGCTTTGTCATAGGCTCTTTCACAGTGAATAATTAAAGAGTTTGTATAGTGTTTTAGTTGGACTTGCTTTTGAGCTCCGTAGATGTAAAGTTGTGTGAAATGATCAAAGAAATAAAGTCATACCTTCGTAGAGAGTAGTCTGTGTTGTTCTCCTCGCGATTTGAGGCCGTTTTGATGTGTTTTAGCTTGACGCCCTAAATTACCGTGCATAAAATACGGGAAGGTGGCAAACTTCTGTTGACACATGCTCGCCAAAATCGCTCGAAAACAACACTTAAATACTTTCCCTCGAATCAAAACTCGGCAGCACGCAAGCCAAATAGTTGCCCTTTAAGTTCACCGAAAAAAATCCCACAAAAGTCGGTTTGTCGAGCAACCAATTCCAGCGAGAATTTTAAATTAACGGCCGTTCGGAATTCTTCTAATGCGTGGAAGGAACTTCTTGTGCAGCTGAGAGACCGTTTTGTACTCTCAGCTGCAGAAGAAGTTCCTTCTACGCATTAGAAAAATTCCGAACGGCCGTTAATTTGAAATTCTCGCTGGAATTGGTTGCTCGACAAACCGACTTTTGTGGGATTTTTTTCGGTGAACTTAAAGGGCAACTATTTGGCTTTC